GCGTCCGCCACAGACTCGGCGTGGGCGCGCGCACCGGGATTTCTTCGGCCCTCCGCCCGTGCTCCACCGGTTCTCCCTTTGTCGACGCCCGTGGCCGGTCCCGCATGGGGGCGCCCGGTTTCTGCTGGGCCTGTCACGCGAGACCCGCGTCTTCCTTTAGAGTATTAGAGAAGAACACCCTTGCCACAACCCGAGTTTTACATTGCATCAACTGCACTAAGGCAAATAGCTATATTGTGGTAGAGGGTAGGTTTGAACTTTGAAGACTTGCCAGGCTCTACTCCTTGTACTTACTTGCCCCATGTTTGCCAAGGCCTCCTTGAATCCTGGATCAATCTCTAAGGCCTGCTGGTATGCCTTAACTCCATCCAGACATCTCCCAGATGATGTTAGACTTAGTCCCTGAGGAAACACATTACAGCCAGTCAGGAACAATACCAGATGATCTACATCACTCATCAGTAAGTTCATTTGTTCATATTTTCTCAACCATATTGCAAAGGGATGTGGGCATTTGCAGTCCCACTCATCCCACAAAAATACTAAAATACCAAAAGACAGCAGTGCAAAGTTTCAGACTGGCTCGTTGTGACCTAGGATGGCCCAATCTCCAATCAACAGAAGGAAACGGACTCAAAATGTGGAGCTGAGTAGAAGCACTATACAAACCAATGCACCAACTAGCCTAGCTCAGGTGGTACACCCATGAACTGTTGAAATACAGACCTGAGTTCAAATTCCAGATGAGTGAAAAATAACTCTGAATTACCTGTGGCCAGTCAGTACAAAGATGATATCTAAAGGCTGTTGCTGCAATAACCCATGCCTTATGTCTCGTGGAAAGACTGACGGCCAACTCGGCCGCCCTCAGCCCAGGCCAAAACGGGGGCAAAAAGGACCCCATACGAGGACCCAGGGCCTGGACGTGTGACAGTTGACTTTGGTCAACTGTCAAGAACCCAACAGTCCAAGTCCAAAGGTAACTAGCCCAGGCCGCTGGTCAAGCACACACGCTTGTTTGTATGCAGGTACCCATACAGCATCAGGTCCAAGGGAGAAGTCTGCAACTGCACAATCCGGGCCCAATCTGGACGACTGTGGGAAAAACACCCGAGGCCAGACAGCCTCGACAAATGCTACTTAAGGCTGGCCTCGAGTGAGTCAAGCATTCAGTCTTGCTATGCTACTTTAACGCTGGCTCGACTTTTACTAGACGCTGGCATTATGCTGGCTCGAGCTGCCTAGACGCTGGCTGTGCATTGGCGATGCCGACGGCGGCACAACGTGGAGACAGCATGCTGGGGCTTTCTGCATTGTGCGCCAGGCTTGCTGAGGTGGCATGCTGATGTGGCGCTACCTCTGGTCTACATTGCATGCTGATATGGCGCTACCTCTGGTCTACATTGCATGCTGATGTGGCGCTACCTCTGGTCTACATTGCATGCTGATGTGGCGCTACCTCTAGTCTACACTGCATGCTGATGTGGCGCTACCTCTGGTATACATTGCATGCTGATGTGGCGCTACCTCTGGTCTACATTGCTGATGTGGCGCTACCTTTGGTCTACATTGTATGCTGGCATGGAGCTACCTCTGCTCATTGCATGGTGATGTGGCGCTACCACTGGTCTCCATTGCTGATGTGGCATATGCCACCTGTTTCGACTGTTGAAGTGGCATTGTCCACGCTGTCTACATGAGGTGACTGGTTGCAAGGAGGAGGAAGATCGGGATCTGTGGATGAAGGAGCTCGGGTACTCACATGAGGTTGACGTCGTCACGGGAATCTGCTATGTCTTCATGGTCTTCACGAGATAAAGTGCCACGTGGCACTATAATGTGTGATCAGGAATAAACTTACTATCATTGTTGACGTGGAGAGGGAAGAAGCCCGGAGAAGAAGAGGGGTCAGAAGCGATAACTGTGTGATCTTTCATCTTCTCCTTTGTCCGTTCCCCCTCCACTCTCTTCTTGTGATGGTAATGAGATACTGTTTGAGATGTCACTTCACGATTTGGAGACTTTGATGCAGATAATGAGACTACTGATGTTTGATGACTTCTGAGTATCTGCTAGACTGGGTTCATTACATTGCCCTTTTAAACAAAAAAAAACAAAAAAAGTACACAAACCAATGCTTCTTGCTGGCATATCCGCCTCTGAATCCTACTTCCCATGTCTTCTCTAACTCTATCATACACAGTCACAAACTGGGAAGAATTTGGGGACCTCGAGCCCATTGTTGTTGTCTCTCTAAAAGGGGTTCCAGCATCCGAAGCTTGCTT